AGGCTATGGAGGCGGAGGGCGTCAGTGTGGACGAATACGTGTTCCAACTGGAAATTGAGGAGTTATCGACTAAAGTGGAAGGTAGGACAGAAGCTCCAGGTCCATCAGCAGGTTTAGACATGAATATGATGATGAATGCAATATCACAAATATCGTCGCAGATGTCACAACTGTCTTCTCAAATATCATCGGAGTTGTCGTCGCAGATAAATGTGCNAATATCACAAATATCGTCGCAGATGTCACAACTGTCTTCTCAAATATCATCGGAGTTGTCGTCGCAGATAAATGTGCAGCAGGATACCCGTATATCACAGGTCTTATCCCAATTAGAAGCACAGAAGACACATGTGACGTCGCAACTGGAAACGCAGGAAATAAAAATAACGCAGTTACAGGAGAAGACGTTAGGCATTGAGACTGAAGTAGATGCCATGAAAGCTCGCCTCTGTGAACTGCAACTGAATCGCCCGAATGTTTTAACTGGCGGTTCCAAAGTAAAAGCTCCATCCTTCGATGGCACTGTATCCTTCTCAATATTTAAGCTCCAGTTCGAAACAACAGCAACAACAAACAACTGGGGTACTGCAGACAAAGTAGCTGCATTGGTTGTCTCGCTTAAGGGTTCTGCAGCCGAAGTACTGCAGACAGTTCCAGAAATCGACCGGGGTAACTATGACGCTATAATGGCCGCAATAGAGAGACGTTACGGCAGTGACCACAGGCAACAAATGTTCCAGATGGAATTGATGAATCGCTTTCAGAAGATAAATGAGACACTGCAAGAGTACGCAACAGAGATCGAGCGATTGGCGCATTTGGCATATGCGAAAGAAACGGCAGATTTCATAGAAAAGATGAAGTGCCAGGCATTCGTGAGAGGTATACGAGATCCGGAGACGAAACGGGCAGCATACTCAACACCAAAGGGGACGTTTGCTGAAACAATGTCTTTTGCGCTGGCACAGGAGACAGCAGCTCTTCTGAGCAAACCAGTACATAAAGTTCATCGGGTTGATGTTGAAGAGCCCAACTCGCTGGAAGAAACCATAAGGGACGTAATACGAGAGTCCTTATCCCAGATGACACGTCGCAGCAGTTCGGATATTAAGTGCTACAACTGTGGCAAGATTGGGCATATTGCGCGCAATTGTAGTACACCACATAGTCAATCGATGGCAAACTCGGGTGGAAGGAAGCGAAGCAGTGAAACCGACAATACCGCTCCTGAAACTCAACAGCCGTTAAACTTAAACGAACCAGCTCTAAGGGGCGTGAGCTGGTTCTCACAACTGACTGCTCCACTGTCTCCGTCTCGCAAATTGGACGGAAAAGCAATAGTTTGTCGGTGAGGGGAACTGTAAATGGTCGATCCCTGGTGCTTACTTTGGACACAGGTGCGACGAACTCAATCATCCGGTCAGATTTGGTAAGCGGTAATGTGGAACCACTGTTTGGTTACAAACTTCAGACGGCTACAGGAGAGAAAGCTACGATTTCCGGAAAGACAGTTTGTAAAGTTTTTATTGGAGCTTTGTCGGTTGTTCACACATTTTTAGTGGCTGAAATCGTAGATGAAGTAATAATTGGCGTGGATTATGCTGCTCCATGGTTTTACATTGGATTTGAATAATAGAGTGCTGTCGTGTCAAAACATGGAGATACCTTTGAGTACCGGATATGAGAGCAGTGTACAGTTAAGGAAGGTAACCTTAAGTCACCGTCAATGGATTCCGCCAAAATCTGAAGCAGTCATATGGACTAATGTGGAAGGAGGCTGTGGTACGGGCGAAGTGTGTGTTAAAGAAGCTGCTGAAGAGACGACAAATGTAATCATTGGAAGAACGTTGGTGAAAATGGGAAAAAGCATGCGGGTTCCAGTGAGGGTACTAAATAATTTCAAGTCACCAGTTATTCTGGATAAAGGTGCTGTAATTGGGAAATGCCAGGCTGCAGAGGCCATAGTAAATTGCGACAGTCCTCAACAGGGAAGCGAAGAATTCCCGGAAGCAAGCAGAAGGACTCCCGACTTTATAAAGACTTGGTTGCATGACGTGAAAGGGCTTGAGTGGACGAAGGCTAAGAAGTTGTTAGAAAAATACGGCTGTATATTCGCCGGTGATTGTGGTAAATTTGGTAGAACTGCCATCGTGAAACATCGAATAGATACCGGAGATGCAAAGCCAATTCGTCAAGTTCCGCGCGGAGTTCCACTAGCAAAACGCGAGGAAGCGAAGCAGATAATTCAAGAAATGCAGAAAAGTGGAGTAATTGAGCCATCAATGAGCCCGTGGAGTTCACCCGTTGTGCTGGTTAAAAAGAAAGACGGTAGTACCCGATTTTGTGTAGATTACAGGAAGCTGAATGAAGTCACGAAAAAGGACAGCTACCCATTACCACGGATAGATGACACTCTCGACACTTTGTCCGGTGCGAAATGGTTTTCCACGCTCGATCTAAAAAGTGGTTACTGGCAGGTAGAAATTGAGGATTGCGACCGTGAGAAAACAGCTTTCAGCATAGGAGATGGGTTGTGGCAGTTTTCCGTGATGCCATTCGGATTATGCAATGCTCCAGCAACCTTTGAGCGCCTGATGGAGCACGTGCTGAGAGGTCTACACTGGAAAACGTGCTTAGTCTATCTGGATGACATCATTGTCATGGGTAAAAGTTTTAGTGACCATTTGGAACAGTTGGAAGAAGTCCTTCAGCGCATTGCTTCCGCGGGATTGCGTTTAAATCCAAAGAAGTGTTCATTTTTCAAGACGGAAGTCGCGTATCTGGGACATAAGGTGACAACTGAAGGCGTCAAGACAGACGAGGATAAGATAAGAGCAGTACGAGATTGGCCACAACCAAGAAGTATACATGATGTCCGAAGCTTCTTAGGGCTGTGCACGTATTACCGTCGCTTTGTTCCTGGATTCGCCTACGTTGCACGGAGTCTCCACAATCTCACTAAGAAGAATAGCGCTTTTGTGTGGCACAAGGAACAAGAGGAAGCTTTCCAGCGACTTAAAGAGCTTCTTTGTACTTCGCCTATATTAGCTTATCCGGTTCCGGGAGAAAAGTTCATCTTGGATACAGACGCTAGCGCATACGGAATAGGAGGAGTACTATCGCAGATTATTAATGGACAGGAAAAAGTGATCGCATACTATAGCAGAGTCCTCGCAAGGCCGGAAATGAACTACTGTGTTACCAGACGGGAACTGTTAGCTGTGGTTGAGTGCGTAAAACATTTTCACAAATACCTATATGGACAACGATTCCAGTTAAGAACTGACCATGCAGCTTTGAGATGGCTGCTCCAGTTTAAGCAGACTGAAGGACAAGTTGCACGGTGGATTGAAAGGCTGCAAAATTACGACTTCGAGATTGAACATCGTAAAGGGGAACAACATGGAAATGCTGATGCACTATCTCGACGACCCTGTGCTATAGAGTGTAAGCATTGCTCGAAAATCGAGAGATCCGAGGGAATAGTTGATATCAGATTAATGCAATTGCAACCCGATGACGAGTGGGAGTTCAGCGCAATAAGAAGAAGTCAATTGAACGATGCTGACTTAAAAAGGATCATAGGAGCGAAAGACGCTGGAGAGAGACCATCTAAATCCGGAATGGCGATAGAAAGTCCTGCGGCTAAGGCATATTGGGCGCAGTGGAATAGCCTTAAAATAATTGATGGAGTTCTGCATCGCGTATGGGAAAGCGAGGACGGGAATCATGCTCGCAATTTGATCGTAATTCCTAAATCCAGAATTTCATCTGTGTTAGAGGAATTCCACAATGGACCAAGCGGTGGTCATCTGGGTGTTACTAAGACGCTTGAGAAGATTAAGCAGCGGTTTTACTGGGTGAATTGTAAAGAATCAATTGCCGAATGGATTCGAAATTGTGCGCAGTGTATGGCAGCGAAAGGTCCGAAGACCAGAAGTCGTGGAAGATTACAGCAATATAACGTGGGTGCACCATTTGAGAGAGTGGCCATGGATGTGGCAGGTCCGTTTCCGATAAGTGACTCGGGCAACAAATATGTGCTCGTTATTATGGACTACTTCAGTAAGTGGCCGGAAGTCTACGCTGTACCAAACCAAGAGGCCAAAACCATTGCTGATGTTTTTGTGCAGAACTGGGTTGCTCGGTTCGGAGTACCTATGGAGTTACATTCAGATCAAGGAAGAAACTTCGAGTCCGCGGTATTCAGGGAGTTGTGTTGCTTGTTGGGAATTAGGAAAACGCGGACAACACCTTTGCACCCGCAATCGGATGGAATGGTCGAAAGGTTCAACCGCACTCTGGAGGAACACTTACGAAAGGTGGTGGGAAAGTGCCAACGAAATTGGGATAAACACATCCAAATGTTCCTGTTGGCCTATCGCTACTGGCCAATCGCCGGCTAGGACACTCTTTGGAAGTGATTTAAGGCTGCCGTGTGATTTAGTATTCGGAAGAGGTGCTGCTCCCACAATGGACGAAGGCAGTCATTGGGAAACGCTGCGGGATGACATGGATAAGTTACACCATCATGTGAGGCTACATACCCAGCTTATGAGTGATAAGATGAAGGATCGGTTTGATCGTGCTGTGAACTCTGAAGGATTTAAGGAAGGTGACTTAGTACTTCTTTATAATCCGCAAAGGAAGAAAGGGATTTCTCCCAAACTTCAAGCATCCAGGGAAGGTCCATACAAGGTGGTTAAAAAGCTAAATGATGTGGTGTATCATATACGAAAATGTAGTACGGGGCAGGCGAAAATCCAAGTAGTTCATCTGGAGAGACTGGCTCCGTTTGGAACGAAGGAATTTATGTCTAATCGGGACGATCAGACTTAAGCGGAGGGCAGTGTGACGAATTTGAAAAGGCGCGATACTACTAGATACTTAGAGAGTTATTGTACCTGTTACTTTTCATACTTGTTGTTATTTGATTCGTTTAATTGAGTGTTCATAGATAAAATTGAATTTTCAGAAAAACGGAAAAGTATATGTGTAGTTTGAGTTTTGAATCTAAAAATATAAGTTGGTTGGCGAGCTTTATTCGACAATTCAGTGATCGAACTCAGATCTTAAGAGACTGGGAAAGGACGTAACAGTATGTATACAAAACAGTGTTGGCATTTTTGGTACAATTGAACTTTTTTGGTACAATTTCGTTTACAATATACTTTCCTATTACGCAGTACTTTTTAGAACAATTTCGTGATGAATACCATAAGAATATAGCTTTGAAAACTCACTGCGAGGAATTTTGTATTCTCCTTTTGTCTTCGCCTTCTCGTTTTTGTCTTTGTAAGTTTTGAAATCTCATTAAAAAAAATGTCGAAATCAGCTGCAGATAGAAACAGTGTCATCGTTAATTAAGAAAGAGATGTTCTTAAATATCAGAACTTTATGACACTCACTCGTTTATACTTTCTTGTTTATAAAAATATAGTTTATTCCGTAACAAAAAATTAACGTAAATATTTCGAGCTTTCTATTCCATTTTTTTTGTTAATATTTTGCAGTTTTTTAGCTCATTCAACTGTGGTGTGGTGTGATGTGTGGTGTTTTTTTTGACGATGTGGCCATTTTCTTCCATATTATCTAAGTTTGTTCGACGATTTTTTTAATGAAGAAAACGAGCAACACCTCCATAAAAAAATATATGTATATATTAAAAATCAATGATAAGTCGCAGCTATTTTAAATTTGCACTTTATTTAAATTTATAGGGCTACAAAACTCCATACTCAAAATATGTATTTCTAGGAAATTTAATTAAAAAGATCGAAATTTTTACGAAAGTTTGTTGATTTGATGTTGCGCAAAGATTGAACCTCGGATTTATACAGGTTTTGTTAATGTATAAGCTAAAAGTTAAAAGTATAAGCTGCATTTTTATAAACAAATAATTAAAATTAAATAACTTTAAGATAAAAAACCAATCTTCGCAAATCAAAATTAATTAGCATTATTTCTTCGGAATTGATGCATTGAAATATCCAATTTCATTAAATTTCGAAAATTAATGCATTAATCTTTTTCATTTATATTCAAATGCTATGCATTAAAAATTAATGAATTTTTCACAACTCTGGCATGTACTAAGAAAATATATTAGCAAAGTAAAAAGTTGGTACAACTTACAGTCGAAAAGTAAAGTTTTTGTTGTAAACCTTATTGTAAACATTATTGTGAAGCTATTATTTTATGTATCGGTGCAACCGTGCGCCTTCTTGCCATTTTCATTGCTGGCAACGCTGGTCGTGGTGGCATCACTGTTGTCAGCAGCTTACTTGCTGTCTCCACAGCTTGATAATGTTATCAGGCAAAATCTTGCCCATGGAGACCGCATATTGCTCTT